CTCTTACACCCTTAAGTGTTATGTTCAAAAGCTTAGCCAATAAGTGGCCTATGTGTTTGCTTTTTTTTTTTTCTGTCCAGTTCCTATAATTTTCTAGTTCATCTCCCCTCTGCTTTACATCCCCCTACCCTGACCCACAGCTGCTCTCTGGTGCAGTATACTGGACGGACGGCAACTAACAGGGAACACCAATTTTTATAGGCCTTGAGCAATCATTTCATATATAACACAAGCAGATAACAGGACTCCAAGAGCCTCAGGCTCTCACTGCATCTGTGGCCGGGGGACCATGGCGAAGGCCATTGTGATGCACATGGAAAAAACGAGCTGCATTTCCAAAGTTAAGCACTGAAAAGCGAGGAAATGACAGAATTAAAGGGGGGGGGGTAGCTGGGCCTATGTGTAGGGAGGGGCTGCCTGTGAGTGCAGGGTGGGGGCAGCTGGGCTGAATGCAGGCTGGGGGTAACTGTGTGCAGACGGGGGGTGGTTCAGGGTGTAAGGAGAGGGGTATTAGGAGCTGTGTCCTGGAAAGACCCCCCTGCAGTCTATGTTCCTGGAGGTGTCTGCCAGCCACAGAGCTGGGTCTCTCCACCCAGCCGACTCTTACTGGCTGCCTCTGAGGGAGCAAAGGGGGCTGGGATCTGAGGAGCAGCTTCAGGGCATCTCATCAGCAGGTGAGGAGGAGGGACCGCTGCTGCTGCCTCCTCCCTGGCACCAGCCAGCGCAGCAGCTGCCCCACCCCTGGCTGTGGCAGGGAGAGGAGATGGGGTGGAGTGTGGAGCTGCCCGGGTGACTGTGGAGTCACGTAGACATTCAGCTCTGAATACAATTTATTTGCACCAGAAATTCCTTGGCAATTACCAGTCTCATGCTTAATTTCCAGAACAAAGTATTTAACACCAAGAAATGCCTGACCATGAATTGCCCTGATCTTTTAGTAGTAAAGGAGGAGTCAGCTTTCCATTCAGTGTGCAGCAGCAGTAGAAAAACCAAAGAGAATGTTGGGAATCATTAAAAAAGGGATAGAGAATAAGACAGAATATCTTACTGCCTCTATGTAAAACCATAGTACACTCACATCTTGAATACTGCGAACAGATGTGGTTGCCTCATCTCAAAAAAGATATATTGGCATTGGAAAAGGTTAAAAGAAGGGCAACAATATGATGAGGGGTTTGGAACAGGACCCATATGAAGAGAGATTTAAAAGACATGGACTTTTCAGCTTAGAAAAGAGGAGACTATGGGGGGTGGGGATATGATCACTATAAAATCATGACTGGTATGGAAAAAGTGAATAAGGAAAAGTTATTTACTTGTTCCCATAATATAGGGACCAGAGGGTCACCAAATGAAATTAATAGGTAACAGGTTTTAAACAAACAAACAAAAGGAAGTTTTTCTTCACACAGTGCAGTCAACCTGTGGAACTCCTTGCCAGAGAAGGTTGTGAAGACCAGGACTTCAAGGCCATGTCTACACTGGCAGGTTCTTGCACAAGAACATCTTGCGCAAGAGTTCCTGTGCAAGCATTCTTGCACAAGAACACGTCCACACTGCCATGTGCTTTTGCACAACAGCATCCATGGCAGTGTGGATGCTTTCTTGTGCAAGAAAGTTCTGATGGCCAGGGCTCGACAAATACGCTCGCCCACGGCGAGTAGATATTACCAGCTGGTGAGTAGGTACAGACATAGACGTGTGCACTACAGGCGGCGTGGCCCCATCTGCCGGCTGGGATGGAGAAGCGGAGTGCTGCCGGGGAGGGAGAAGTGAGGCAATTCTTACCGCCGGGCTACCTGCGTGCAGCTCCGGCGCGAGGAGGCGGGGCCCAAGCCAGAGGGC